TTTAGCAGTAGGCTGTAGAGTAATGGTAAGATGCAATATTGATGTGACTGTAGGATTAGTCAATGGTGCCATTGGTACAGTAATAGGTATTTATGCTACTGGTAAATCAATCAAATTTCATCATATTGATGTACTTTGTGACATAGAAAGGGTTACATCTAGATTTATGCTATCTAAGAATTTGTATATACATAGGAAACTGTTTCCCCTTATACTTTCTTATGCTATTACTATACATAAATGTCAGGGCCTCTCATTAGATACAGCAATTATTGATTTATCGACAGATGTTTTGGGGATGATATGGCATACGTTGCATTGACTTGTGTATGTACATTAAATGGATTACATTTATTATCAATTGATCCTCTCTCTGTTAAAGTTAGTAATGTGTGCATTAACAAAATTTACCGCCTCAGAAGTAAATTTCAGAATGACTTACCTGAAATCAAGTAAAGGAAAGAAGAGAAAAATTCAAGTGACTGGTATAATTGATGATGGTGATCCTTGTAGTAAGAATGCCAAGGTGTCTGTAAGTCATGTACAATGTACTAGTAACAGTACCATTAGTAGCAATAAACGTGAGAGTATACTGATTTACAAAACTCTAATTGCCCCAAAAAGAAAAAAATATGCCACAATAATGTGTTTTAAGCCTTGCCCCCAAAAAAGAAAAGTTGATGTAGACAGCAGTACTGACAATACTATTCCTGCTTTTAGAGGGACACTGATTATGACAGCTATTAGTCAAATTTGCAACTGCAATTGTCACTGCATCTCGATTTGTGTGATGTGTCTCCTATAAACAGACTTTCTTCACGATATTGGTATTTCTTAATGGTTTGAATTCATCTAATACAGGTTCATTATGAAAGGCAATGACGCTATGAAGGAAGAAATTCATGTTGATAAGACTAATGATGTAGGCTTAGCCATTAAGGAATAAAATGAAGCAGTTGGCAGTGCCCACAGAAAGAAAAGAAAGCTTAGGTTGGACACATATGATAAATTTTATTTATTTATTCTTCTTGTATAGTGACAAAGAAAGCCTAGATCAGCATATGTATATAATGCCACCTCTAAAATATTCAGCTGACACAATAATTATTTTCAATTTCGCTTAAACCAAACATAAATAAATCAAAAGTCTGCAGTGGCTGTCCTCTTCGAGTTACTTCAAGTGCCACATTTGTTGTTCATCTCAGTAAACTAGCTCATTCAGATGATGTCAAGACAAATTCATTTGGTATCTCAAACTATTCTGGATCAAAGACTCTATGCTTCAGGGTGCATATAAAGGAACATGGCTAAGTCTCAGATAAAAAGTGTGTTCCAGGTGATAATGTTGTGCACTTAAGAAGGCTTCATAACACACATCCTTCTATCAAGCAATTCAAACAAATGATAGCTTTCTTATTAGGTATAGTAACAATGAGTGGCCTTATACTTTTTTGTAGATGACTCAAATGTGGCACATCATCTGCGTTTGCTGTTTATTGAGTTACTCATGGCTTCACTCCAATTGTCAAAAGTCATGGCAATAACAAACAACACGTTCAATGTCATACCACATTACACAGTACAAAATGTATTATAGAGCAATGCACTGCGAAAAGTCAAAAGGAAACAATGTCTACTTTGTTTTTGGAAGTGGGAAGTGTTGGTGGAGCACAGTGCATGTACTGGGCAGCTTCCTGGAAGTGAAAAGCATCTCAAATAACAAAAGGCGTGTGCAGCATTATTCTCTTGGGAGTGCTGGAGGTGATGATTTAGTTTTGGTAAAGTATCCTCTTCATTGCTTTGTAATTGTAGTAAATGCTGCTCATGCGCCAGCTATTGTTTTTGCTACTAATTCTCATATTAATGTTTCTCGCTTTTGCACTTCATCATTTGAGTTTTCAGTGATGACAATTGAACCAACCTTTTCTAAGTGATTTTTATGTAATGCTAACCACATATTGTCATCAATTTCTTCAATCGAAAAGATACAAGTAGCCTCTTGTTTTTATTAGCCCAGTTTGTGTGGACATCAAGAAAACTTTCTCAACATACTTATTTTTTGCATCTACACTTATTGGTCAGTGCTGTGACCTTAAAAAGGTAGAAATGGATAGAGAAAAAGCACTAGCATATCATGAGTTTCCTGATGCACATTATTTAACATGCTTCATTCATGTCAGGAGGAAAATAAAGAGAAAGGTTCAGGACGGTAACGTTCCTGCTAATCTCAGTATTGACATTCTCATTGATGTGCTTGGAAACAACATAGGTACGACTTATGTGGAAGGCTTAGTAGATGCCAAGATTATCAATAAGTTGGATGTCGTGACTAAGAAGTGGAGCAACAGTGAACTGACAAGTGCATCAGAAATAGATTGATTCATTCATTGATTCACATTTTACAAAGCAAAAAGTATCAGATGCTCCATGATACGTGATGTTAGAGAGTAAATTTGGCTGGGATCACTGCCAATTCAGTTGACAACAAATTCACCTAAAACAGCTAATTTTATGCTTTAAAGCAAAGATTATTACAAGAAGAGTGAGCTCCCTAAACTCCTCAAGCCTATAGGCAATTAATAAATGATCAAGAGCGTGATGTTGAAAATGTAATTATTGGAAGTGGCAACTATGAACTGAAGGTGCAGTATCAGTCTTGGAGTGTGTCAGAGTCAACATGGTTTACAATGACAAAAGTCCAGAGAGAGCAACATCTTCAAAAGTTTTCTGAAGCATCACTGGCTGACATTTAATATGAATATAGGGAAATGCCCATATCTTCTATCACTTTAGGGCAAGACATGTCTTCATTTTCATCACTTTCTATTTCTCTGGATTCATTCAATAATAATGTGCTTGTACCTCGAAGTTGTCTAGAAGTAATTTAGATGAAAGCTTGTCAGCTCATAAAAAAGTGCAGTTGTTCAAGCACCTGGTGTTACTCAAAGAAAGTTTGTTTAAAGCTACAGTAGTCGAAGGCCCATTTAGTTCCTCCTAGTAAGACTTCTGTTTTCACTTGTGATTGAGAATGTCCCAAGTAGAAGGGATTGGGTATATGTGCACACTCTGTTGCTGTTGATGAAATGAATGGAAAGCCTTCAGACTACATAAAATGAAAATGTCAAAAAAAAGAAGAGACCTAACATTACCAAATTTGCTGAAGTTACTATGCCCAAAGTAAGAGGGGGAAAAGGAAGTGAATGTACAAGGAAGAGAAAGGGTACCACAACAATTGAGGAGAACCAATTAACAAATATTACCTTTGTGGCACCTTCTGATGCTATTGTTGGCTCATCACATCCATTACTAACCAATCAGCCACCACTAAACAATACTTATTTTTCTCAGAATTATGATCAAACACCACACATCCTGTACCAACCAGAATTAGTTTGGCATAGTCCTAGCTCATCGCAACTGCAATATTCGCCTGTATGACTTTGTAAATTATCAGGCAACATCAGTACATGTGTTGGGTGTTGATTGAAACAAATGCACAAAACAGCTTCACCTCCTGATGATATGTGCTTAAAACATCAAGAATGGCATGTATTTTTTCCTTAGGGCTCTTCATTTCCAATTACAAGATATGGCAATGTTTACTATCACTTTCATTCAAATTGTGAATGGCTTCGATGAGCCTGATTTAATCCTTGTCAATTGGTTGTGCAACCAGAAATTGTGCCACATTTAAGGTACTTTTGGATGAAATTTTAATATTTTTTTAATTGCTGCCATTTTATAGCATTGAAAAAGTTGTACAACTTGTGCTATTTTTAAAATTTTACCTTGCACTGTTTAGAAGTTATAGATCATTGAACTTTAAATATTAAAGAAAATTCCTGCATCACTTTTCGTACTTTATACGCCATTATTGATCTTGTGTCATTTCTGGCTACCTCTGTATATTATAAAACTGGCAGGAAAAATTAATGCAAGGTGGGGTTATGTTATGATGTCATATTAGTCAAACCATTAATAAAAATGGCCACCAGTATGTATTTCCTAACTATTGTTTATTTAGCAGTTTCATGTGGTGAATGCAGGCTTAACGAAGCTCTGAAGCTTGCAATCGTCGCATAATGAAGGCAAACACTCAATCAAGTTTGTATACAATAAATCCTTTTGTGACACACTGATGTTTGAAAGTGAACAAAACTCTATGAGAGATTGCAGCCAATTTTGCAAAACTTAAAGAACTTTTGCCAAGTGATGGAACATACGTCAATAGAAAATAATATTATAAAAACAATCATATTACTAAAAATTAAAGTACTCTCATTATGTTCAAGAATTCTTTACTCCGTTTTCAACCATTTTAAAAAGTTTAGTAAAGTTTATTGCAGCTCACTTTTGAGAAAAAATTTGAAAAAATTATATATTGTAGAAAAAGTATAAAGCAAACAATTTGTGTTCCGAAAACTAAATTGTGCGTTCAGCCCGTTGTACCTTAACATCAAGTCACAAGGAAAGGCGCACAATAGTGTTAACGACCTGGGGGCGTAGCCCCCATGTTGTTCCTAAGATTGTTTTTACCCATGTGCAATGTTTCAATGTTTGTATATATATATTTGTATGACCACACTTACATTTCTTCTGTACACGTTGTATGGGAGAAATAACAACCTTAGCAACTATCCGCCCACATGCCTACGTCAATTGGTTGTGGTAAAAGAAACAGAATGGCCAGTCTGAACTGTATTTGGATGATGTATCAGGACAACTTTCTAGCAGCAAATTAACGCAATAGATTTGACATCAGTCACACTAGAAGGGGCTAATACCAACTAATGATAGCTGTCAAATGCAAGAGGTAAAATTATAATTAAATATTATGCTTTGTCACCATGCATAATAGCTGAAACTCTGGAATATAAGCTAAGGAAGATATCACATACTGAATTCATAGTTGAAACCTATGATCCACTAGTCAAGCCATCACACATGCCTTAACCCTTTAACACCGATAGACGTACTTGTACGTCAATATCATGAGGGGGTGTAGTATAATTGTTATTTTCTTTTTTATTTATGGAAATATAACATTCTAGATAGCTTTAAAAGGTTCTCCTTTCATCTCTCTAACATATATAACATTGTCAAAGACGAAAAACAGAGTATATAGGTAGAAAAGTCCAGTAGCGCGACCCAAACTGTTCAAAATGATCAGCGGCCGAGGTAAGTCACCTAAAAAATGACACAACAACAAAAGACAGAATGTTTAGACTTACCTTTGGCTTGTGAAATCCTCTAGAAGTGAGTAGAAAAGGCGAGCGACTCGAGAGAGCTGCTTTGCCTAACATTTCAATGGAGAAAAGCGGTAGGTGTGGCCACATTTTGCTTAGCAACGGCTTAGCAACCATGGCTTCTCGACCAGTCACAGTGGTGTTTCTACTCGTAGCATCTTCTCCACTGACTTCTGCCTCTTCATTCTTTCATATCCTGCCTACTAGGTCCTGCTTTACATGATACAACTCTCTCTTTCCCTTCGCCAAGTCCGTGTATTTGAGAAAAGCGGTGAGCATCTTTACAATAGATGCTGCATTGCTTTATGCCGCTTCATTTACTATTATACTTCCTCTATCTAAGGATGAACATCCCATAAAGGCTGCTAGCAAGTTTCAAGTCTCGCAGGACAAGATCTTGAGAGATATGCATTGCTCAACTAGTACCACCAGAAAATAAATTTTATTCCAAAATTAATTTCGGTGTTAAAGGGTTAAATGGCGAACTTGACTTAGCCGTAGATATATTCTGGGTTATATAATTGGTAAATAAGTAAGTGTTACATACAGTTTATATTTGATAATAATATTATTTGTTCAGTGGTTGTTATTGTTGACAATAATAAGTTCTATTGTATCTAAAAGCCTTTCTATTTGGCTATTTACTGTTTGCTGTCCCTGCCACCATCCCCTTCTACTTCTTTGCCATGAGCTACCAAAATGCTGCCCCATTGCCACCTTTCTCTTACGGCCCATTCTGGCCTTCCACTATCTCCTGATCCTCGGCCTCTTTCTCCTCCTCAGCCTCTTCCTACCCCTGGTCTCCCTCCACAGCCACCTCTGTCATGGTCAGGCCCGTGCCCATCACCTCTGCCAGGGCCTCTGCTGTCACCTCTGCCAGGGCCCCTGCCGTCACCTCTGCCACCACCTCCTCTCCCTGTTGCACCTCAACCACGACCTCCACTGTCAGCTCCCAATCCCCTCTGCTCCCCATCAGGATGCTCATGACGCCTTGGTGGTGGTATGGGAGGTGGTGGTCTTCCCTCTCCTCGGGGTGGTAGTGGTGGTCTTACATCAAATGGAATAACTGGATTTGGAGATTCAGGCTCAGAGATTGTCGTCCCATTATATTAAAGATTTATATATAACTTAATTTTAATTATTACATCAATCATTCATATTTCATTACATCACTATTATCAAGATTATTGTCAAGTTGAGTGTTGGCTTCATTTTGATCTGCCATAGTAACTGACTTTAGTCTAGTACTACTACTACTACTATTCAAATCAGTCACTGCAGCTGTATTAATTAATAATTAAGGAGCCAAATCAGCCAATAATAATAAAGGTGTCTATCAATTAAAATAATAATTAAATCTGACCAATCAAAACACACCATGCCTTAATTGAAAATCTTTATAACTAGGCTACAAGAATTTTAAGATGCAGTTTCAATACTTTTCGAAGATGGAAACTTCTGAGCAATGAGTACCTAAGAAGGGAATATTACCCCGATGGATGTTAGAGTCCACAAACCAAGAAAATGCACACACAACAGCATTGCCATACTAAAAGCAAAAGATGAGTGACTCATTCTGGGGCCTTAAGCAGCATGTACCACTACAAGATGTTACCAACAGCAAAAAGAGGTGCATTGAGTATTATAGAGAAAAGAAACAGCAACAGAGATGAAAAGAGTCTCTGGTAAAAAGAGAAGAAGGTTGAGACAGATGAGAGAATCAGCAAGAATGAGGAGATCCTTTGACAATGAATCTTCAGCTAGAAGAGACTCTCGCCTAATAATAAAAGACTAAGATCTCAGAAAAGATGTGCTAATGAGTCAGAGGCTCAAAGAAAAGCACGTGTCACTGACCTAAGAGAGAGATCTGAGCAAAGGTCTCAATGAATCTGATTCTTAAAGAATAGCATGTCTTACTGACCTAAAAGAAAGATCACAAAAATGACGTGCCAATAAATCTGATTCTGAAAGAGAATCACGTCTCTTGACCATACATGTAACAGCTCAAGAAAGAAGAGCCTCAAAATCTGATGAACAAAAAGCCTTGCGAAATCGAAGAATGTAGGAATATCATAGAGAATTGTTGGCTATTCAACCACCTCTGGCTTCCTCACAAGAAAATTTACATCAGCAATAGTTATCAAGGAAGGACCTTGAAAAATTTCAAAAAGAAATAAGACTATCTCCGATGAGCATATGCTGTACATGTGAACGTCTGTGCTACCGAATAGGTGTATCAATGGTTAACGTGAGTAAAGTGTATGACGTATTACAACAGCATTATCATGCATGTATTAATGATACACAATTATTAGCCTTATTGTCTAATGAAGATGTAGATGGTAGTGTTTATGTTTGTAGTAGATGTATGGCTTTTATAAAGAAAGGAAAAATCCCTCCATTTGCTACAATAAATAATATGCATATGTTGATAAAACACAATGGAACAAAGACTAATTTTAAGAGAGCAAGCCTTTATGAAGCTAATGGTGTTGCAATTGGGTCAAAGAGCATTGGCTGGCCAGACCATTAATTTTCCTGCAAATGTGTCTGAAGTATTTAATTCCTTTCCCTGTGGCACTAAATAGTGATGCAGTTGTGTTAGTCAAGCCACCAAAAAGCACAGGCACTACAGTCTCTGTTCCAGCTTGTGATCAAACAGCCAGTACAAGTATTGGGCCTGAGAGTGCAAGAGCTATTACCAGTACAAACAGTGCTTGTGCTAACACAGCACTATCAAGCACATCTACTAGTACTAGAAACCTATTTGTAGTGATGAAGCGATTCGTTGTTGATGTCCTCAGGTGGGTAAAAGATAATAATTTATATAGTCATTTTGAATATTGATGAATCTGTTATAGATAACAATGACTGTTCTGACAGTAATAATGAACCTGAGCAAAGTACTAGCATTAAACCTCTCCAATTTCAATGTTCAGTAGTCAGAACAGATCATACACTACCAAATTTAAAGGCCTTTGACTTTATTAGAAATAAATCATAATAACCAAGTGCATCAGCTTCCTTGGGTAAGTGGCCAGCCAATACATTTAAATGAAGATAGTAGTGCGGAAGAAACGGCATTTCCATGTCTGTTTCTGAATCGAGTCAATGGTCTTCATGCAGCAAGAGACCCACCAATAACATTTACTGATTATATTCAATCACGTTTACTTAATGAGGATAATTGCTGGTCTAGTAATATTCCATATATACTATGGAGCAAATTTACTTGAAAAGATGAGATTACGTGATTCTGTATCAATCGCAATGCGAATGAGATCATCATCATTGGGTAGCACAGGATGTATCATAGCTGGAGAATTATTAAATGGAGATTGAAATGAAAACTCAGAGCCTTTACAAAATTTATATGCATTAATGAGTAATATACATGGTTCCCAGCTTACTGGAATGAAGCAAAGCTTGATTTGTTTGCCATGTTTAGAACAATAGGTCCACCTACTTTCTTTATCACATTATGTGCAGATGATATGAATTGGTTTGATTTAATGTGTACTTGCAAAATGTGATGGAGAGAATCTGAGTGATAATGAAGTAAAAGAGCTGTCTACTTCAGAACGTAGAAGAATGCTAAGTAGCTACCCAGTGATAGTAGCACATCATTTCTCTCATCACTTTCAAGCTTTAATGAATCATATATATTAAATGGTGCTAGTAAGCCTATAGGTAAAATAAAAGACTACTTTTGGAGAGTTAAGTTTCAACGAAGAGGCTCACCTCATATATATAGGCTATGGTGGAAGAAGATGCACCAGATATTAAGAAAGTAAAAGGTAGAAGGAAAGCTACATGTTTCATTGATAAATATGTCGGATAAATATGTTAGTACCAAAAGATCATGATTTAAAAGGTTTATTGCGATTACAAAAGCATAATCATACCCAAACATGTAGAAAAAATGGACGTAATCGCTGCTGCTTTGATTACCCAAACAGGCCAATTGACACAACTCGTCTTTAAAGAAATGTTGACGTTGAAAAAAAAGCTCATTGCTACATACTGAAATGTGAAGCAGGTGCTGAGATGATATATCCATACAATCCTGACCTACTAAAAGAATGGAAAGCTAACATGGATATTCAGTAGTAGGACATGTCAATGGAGCAGAAAAGTATGTATTCCATTATATGTGTAAAGATGAGCCAGAACAGATGAAACAACAGATAGCAAGAAAGCTCAATGAATTGCCAGTAAATTGTAGGAAGAAACAAAAACTTTTGAAAATTGGAAACACTTTGAAGTGTCACAGGATCTTTGGTGCTCCAGAGGCAGTATTTTGTACTACTGGCTTACATTTAAGAGGCTCTAGTCAATCGTATGTATTCATAAATACAAAAAGACCACAGAAAAGAGGAACACTCATTAAGTCAAATAGAGAGCTAAGAGCTATGAGTACTGAAGATGATGTCTTCAATCCTGGTTCATTTGTCTTCAATCCTGGTTCATTAGAGAGATATCAATCTTGTCCTGATGGAGAACCATTTGACAGTATGAGTGTAGCACACTTTCCTGTATGGGACAACGTTACAGATAAAAATTATGAACCAACAACTTCTGGTGCCCAACCTAGATATCAACTAAAGAATGGTCTAGGAAAGATATATCTAAGAAAGGAAGCGTGCTTGAGACTACCTACAATAACACAGGAGCCTCATGGTGATAGTTACTATTATCAGGTAATCTTTCTTTATCTCCCATGGAGAAATGAGACTCTTGATTTAATCAGAAATCATGGCTCTGCTCAAGCATCATTTGTTGCAAATAAAAAAAATTACAAGTATTAAGTACAGAACAACACTCCTCTTTTGCTGATGAAGTACAAAGTGCGACAGCAATTATTTGTACTAAATCAATGTGGCGATGCTGTGTACACTCCAGTTACTCCTTGTACTTTGCATGTAAATTTAGAAAATAATAATGAAGGTGATGGTCATGATTCAATATATGACCTTGTGTTATATCTTGATAATGTAGTCGCATCACTAGCTGATGGTAATATTGATCATCAAAATCTATGCGGTCAAAATATTGGTGACGTAGAAGATGCATTGACT